CTAAAAAAAACAAAAAAACTAAAAGATTGTGTTGTTGTTAAGAATACCATTTTCTGCCAGTTGTTGTTGCTGTTTTTGTTGTTTTTGTTGTTGTTTTTGCTGCCGTTATTGAAGCTGCCATTCTCTTTCTTTTTTTTTTGCAGCTGTTAGTGAGTGTTAACTTTGATTTTGTTTTTTTAGTGATGATATAAGTGTCGCTGTTGACACTGTTGTTGTTGTTGTTAGTGTTGTTGTTGTTAGTGTTGCTGTTGTTAGTGTTGTTGTTGTTAGTGTTGCTGTTGTTGTTAGTGTTGTTGTTGTTAGTGTTGTTGTTGTTAGTGTAGTTGTTGTTGTTAGTGTTGCTGTTGTTTTTGTTGTCGTTGCTGCTCATGCTCATGGCGTTCACCATCCAGTAGCACGCGCTGTGGGTCTTTCAGAAGGCCAGATGACTCTGTACCCAGTCAGATTACATGAGCTGATAGAAAAATCTTCCAGAGAAAACTAGAAAAATAATTGTTACACCCTAGGGAATCGAACTTCAAACATTCACGTGACAGATTGAGTTCGTAACCCAGCATCTATGTGAATTGCTGGGGTCTCTTTCGTCCGTGGAATTATGGGTAATGGAATAAACCATTATAACAGACATGCTGACAAAGAAGCCATTATTGATTTTACGATCGATAAAATGAAAAAAAAGGTAAAAACAGAAAAAAAATCCAAACAATCCTAATATTTGATGATAATATTTTTCTTTTTAATGATTTGTTCCAAAAGAGGTTTTTCATGTGAAAGGCAAATGCACTTTCGTTCAATGACAAAAATAATGACATTGTGTTTTATTGTCGGCGAAGATGGGGGATAGAAACAAGAAACACGAAAGATGAATAAAAGCTATTGCTGCTGGAAAACCCGTGAGAATTAAATACAGAATTGCAGGGATAACTTGAGGAGACAACTAAATATTTGATGAAGAGCCTGAGAGCATGGAAATCCACACATTCTTTCTGAAATTCTCTAGTGTAGAGATGCTGTAATCCGACAGTGCTAAAAAGTCAACAAAAAGAAATCTAAAAAAAACATTATAATCAAAAGATGCAACAACACCCCCTCCCCCTTAAAAAAACACAACCGAAAAACAATGTCTAACTTCCTGAAGTCCGAGTGTAGAGGGAGTCACGTGATGTTCGTGTAGGCCAGAGAGCTTAACAATATGGATTGGCTAAAATTCAAAGCCTGATTTTTATTGACTTACTTTTATTTTTTGCTCAAAAGAAAGAACTATTCATTTATTGTTCGAAATGCATTCTTGTGTTTCCTGGCGAATAATGCATCGTCTTATTTTGTTAGTATTGATTTCACCCCTCAATTCCTCCCTGCTACGTGCGCACGGACACACACACACA